TGGTTCAATAATTCCATCATTTTTCACTCTCCTCAGGCAAAGAAAAAAATTCTAATTCCATTTGTTCGAACTCCCGAGTGCGGAAAATTCCGTGGTGAAGAGTGATTTCGTTGCGGAAACTTTTCCCCATTTGCCCGATTCCGAAAGGCAACTTTCTATGAATGCTCTTTTGAATAGCCCGGAAGTTGACAAATATTCCTTGGCAAGTTTCCGGTCGTAGGTAAACATGATTTTCTTTTCCGGTAGTTATCTCTAAATTAGTGCTAAGCAAGAGATTAAATTGCCGGGGAGCGGAAAAATTTTTTTTGTGACAATCGGGACACTCTTTTGCGATTAAGAAATCATTCTCTTCTCTTTGGGACAAAAAAGAGGAAAATTCAATTGCGGTTAGCAAGTGGTCAAGGCGATATCTTTTCCGACAATTATTACACTCTACTAGCCAGTCGTTAAAGTTTTTTTGATGCCCCGAAGCCTCTAAAACACGAGGGTGAGTAATTATTAAACTATCGCATCCCACGTTGTAAGGATTAGTAGTAATGAAATATTTTCACCACCAATTTTTCAAATTTTTTTTTAGTTCTGCCCCCTGAGGACCTAAATCTCATGATTTAGCCAAACCCCCGTAAATTGACGCATTAGGCAAAAAAAATCCGTAATGTTTTAAGTAGTTAGTGATGTTAATTTTATTCATTTTTGTTTCCGGTAATTAAGTTATTTTTTGTCCTTAGACAAAAAAACAGTCTTGAATTTACAAAATTCATTAGATTGCAAAAGCATTAAGTAATGTATTGTCATGCCCTGTTTTTTTTTTTTTTTTTGGTTTTTCTCGCCTTTTTAACAAGTAAATTGGCAATACTATTGAAAAGAGCACGAACAAAGTTATACTGATAGTGCCGATGTAAGTGAAATGTATTATCTCATTCCTTTTCCCTAGTTTTTGGATGACGGCAACCTTGCTAATTATTTGTTGCTTTAAACTAGGAATTTCTTCCAGCGGCATTTTTTCTATTTTTTCTTCCCAAGTTTGATAAGGAAATCACAAATTAGGATTTAATTTTTTCTTGGCAAAACGACTTCACCGGTAATAATCATGTTGAAGAAGATAGTTAATATCTTGTTCTGCTTTTTGACGCTCTACTATTTCACCAACTAACTTAAAGGCTTGCTCTTTCAATCGACTTAACTTTTCTTGAACTTCGGCTAAATTATTATTAGATTTGTTAATTATATCATCTAATTTTTCCTCTGGGCTTGCAAAAGGTTCTCAAAAAGAGGACCAAAATGAGTTTCAACGGTATCCACTTATAGAATAAAATTCATCCCTTATTTCTTTTAAAATTTTTTTCCCTAATTGATTGCTGTCAATAATAAAAAACACTTGATTTCTCAATTGAGTTAGATTTCTTTCGGCTTGGGCAAAATTCTGTGAATTTTTGCACAAATCATTTAATTTCTGTAAACAATAGGTAAAGGGATGTCACAAAGAGGAAAAAATAGAATTTGTCGTGGATTCCCTGCTTGAAGAACATTTTTCCTCTATCTCTTGCTCAATTTTTTCCCGTAATTTCTTTCTTTTCCCTCCCCCATTTAACGTTATTGGTCAAGCCCCTTCTAGTAATTGTTCCATGAATTTCACAAAATTCTGGTCCGGGATTTTTTTGGCCGTTTCTTCTCAACTATCATAAAGCGATCAAAGATTAGTATCTAAGTCATCCTCCGGAATTATTTCGTTTCATTTAAAGAAAAATTTCAAGTCTGTTATTATTCATTCTCTTTCAAATCCCGTTCCAAAAGGAGAACTAGGGAACCCGGCCAATGATTCTTTCAATTTGCAATAGTAATTACTTTTAAAATCAAAAGACCAAGACGAAGTTCGGGTTGAACTGGTGAATGGTTTACTATGTTCTTTGTTTTCTACTTTATTCGTCAAAATTTCGTAAGCATTACCAATCTCTTTAAATTTTTCTTCACTTTCCCTAAAAAATTGTCGACACTCATTACTACAATGGTATTTTTCGTCATAGTGCAAAGCACCACACTTTTTATTTCCACCCAAGCATTTTCCGGCT